AGGCTGGTCTCAAACTCCTGGTCTCAAGTGATCCTTCCACCTTGAACTCTCTACACACTAAGATTACAGGCATGAGCCACCACGCCTGACCCAGTTTGCTGTTTTGTATTTTGAGACTTAAAACAGAGATTTTGATTAGTTGCCTACATGATATTCATTTACCCTATCTTCTTTACGAACAGAACCCGAGGTAGCCAGGGGTTGCAGTATAATTAGATAAAGACTGTGTTTCCCAACCTCCCTTACAGGTGGGGAGCCCTATGACTAAGTTCTATCAATAAATGTAAGCAGAAGCTGTTGAGTGAGACTCATTCAGCTGGCACATGCATTCAGCCTTTCTCCCTCCCTTTTCTTCCTGCCTAAAATGGTCACATTTTGTACAGAATTTCCTTTGTCGCAACTGTGGAGCAGAAATGTCAAAGGATCCTGAGACACATTGAAGACAAGGAATAACACACGAGCGCTAGAACTTCAGGCTTTCCTTGGCTGGTTGCTGTTAATCAAATTCCTGCTTGATACACTTTGGGATAAAACTATATTGTGAAAATTCTTCAATTACTACCATAGTTTAAAAGCAGTGTAGTAATGATAGCCTAAATGTGTAAAGTCCTTTCAAAGGAAATTTATCATTCATTGGTAGTAACATAAGTTTGAATCTTCTATTCCTGTTTTTAAAAGGATCTCAAATTCTGAATGTGACAGTAGGACCACAGTTTGATGTGTGGAAAAAAGGTTTTCCTGGGAAACTCCTCTAAAAACAAATCTTTGGGCAGTAGAACTGATTTTAATCAGAGTACATAAAGGGAATAGAACTCTACTAGTCTAATGTTTTGATTTATAAATTATGTCTAGAAATAAACAGTGTTATTGCTTTCCTGAAGATAATATCCACTTATTAATATAAACAGTGAAACGGTCTGTTATCTCAGGCTAATCAAATATATAGTGGGGAAGACACAAAGAGAAATGGGTTAAAAAGTAAAAATATACAATTAGTAGAAGAAATAAATTCAGTGTTCGATAGTGGAGTAGTATGATTATAGTTTAACAAAAATGTCTTGTACTCAGGAGACAGGCACCCTAAATTCCTTAACTTACATACATGTAACAAAATTTCACATATGCCTTACAAATTTGAACAAATATAAATTACATAATATTAGAGCCCTGAAGAAGCCTTGATGATAATCTAGCTTATCCTCTCATTTTTCTATGGAAAAGACCAAAAAAATGGTAAGAGAGATGAGGGGGGTTTTCCTTAACTTTTCACTGTTCACTGGGTTCTTTCTCAAATGAAGGAACTTAGTAGTGGAAGAAGAAAGTATTTCTTATACTTAAGAATTCTCAGGCCAGGCGTGGTGGCTCGTTCCTGTAATCCCAGCACTTTGGGAGCCGAGGCTGGTGGATCACCTGAGATCAGGAGTTCGAGATCAGCCTGGCCAACATAGTGAAATCCAATCTCTACTAAAGATACAAAAATTGGCCGGGCATGGTGGCACACACCTGTAGTCCCAGCCACTCCGGAGGCTGAGACAGGAGAATTGCTTGAACCCAGGAGGCAGAGGCTGCAGTGAGTTGAGATTGCACCACTGCACTCCAGCCTGGGTAACAGAGAGAGACAATAGAGCAATAACAAGGGCTGAAGTTGAGGCAGCAATTAATAGCTTACCAACCAAAAAAAGCCCAGGTCCAGATGGGTTCCCAGCCAAATTCTAGCAGACATACAAAGAGGGGCCAGTACCACTCCGCCTGAAACTATTCCAAACAATCCAAAAAGAGGGAATCCTTCCCAAATCATTTTTTGAAACCAACATCATCCTGATACCAAAACCTGGCAGAGACTCAACAAGAAAAGAAAACTTCAGGCCAATGATCCATGAAGAACATAGATGCAAAAATCTTCAATAAAATACTGGCAAACTGATTGCAACAGCACATCAAAAAGCTTATCCACCACGATCGAGTAGGCTTCATCCCGGGGATGCAAGGCTGGTTCAACATATGCAAGTCTATAAACATAGAAGAAAAAAAGAGTTCTCCCTGTTTGCTTTTTGTCTTGACATTCCCATCAACTAGCATGCCCTTCCTCCTCCTACTTTTTACCCCTCCTCTCCTAAGCCTGGTAACTCAGCCTTTAAGATCCAGGCTTACTAATGCCTTTCCTAGCTACCTGAGAGGCTGAGGAGAGAGGATCATACGAGCCTAGGAGTTGGAGGTTACAGTGAACTATGATCTGACCGCTGCACTCCAAGCTGGACAGCAGAGTGAGATCCTGTCTCTAAACAAACAAAAGACTCAGGCATGATCTCAATCAGAAAATTGTAAGCTGTCCCTGACTGCCCACCCCACAACACACCCATCCCCTGGCCAGGTACGGAGCTTTCCTCTTCACTGTCCACTGTGCCTACACCCTCTGACACTCACTTCAGATCCTAGTGATCTCTCTTTCCCAAAAGAAAAGTGAAGGCTCCAAGGCCAAGAACGAAACCTGTATCCCGCAGCATGCAGCATGGGATCTGATCACATATATTTTCCCTGATATTTATTTTTTAGAAAACATATGCTTGCGAACCCTAGGGCAGCAAGGACAGATGCTGAATCAGTGGAATCTTACTCAGCTCTTTGGTGTAGTTTGAAACCCCTGCTCCTATTGACTTCCCTCCGACAGCCAAACATAATCTCAGGAGAACTGGCTCCAAAAAGCCATAAAGAGGTTTGGTAACATTAGAACGCTGTAAACAACCCATTTTAATGTATGGTAGTACAATTCAAAGTACATGGTTTTGTCTTTTGGGAGGGTATAAAAATTCAATTATAAGGATCAAATAAAAACAGTTAAATAAACAGATCAAGCTCGATAAAAATCATTTGAGCAAGTCTCTGGTTGCTCAGGCTTGGTTCCCTAGAACATTGTAAAAGGTCCAGGTTTTTAAATTAATGGGTTAATCTAGATTTGAGACAGGACCAACAATGGGAAAAGCACCGATGTAAAGTGCAGCCAGAAATGCACTATTGGAGGAAGCATATTTCCTACAGCAGAGAGAAGAGAAACTAAAATATTCCAAATCATATTCTTTAGGTAACATATTAAATTTCTTCTTTACCACATCAACTATAATTTAATCATTTTAGTTGAAGGTATTTCTAAATGAGATCTCTCTGGTAATCTCACAACCCCCCCCCCCTTTTTAATGAATGTTTTTTTCCCATTCATCCTATTTTAAATGATTCTATAAATAATGTTATGTTAAAAAAGTTTTCTCTCCATAGTAGAGTACTAAATGGGGGTCCTATATAAAAGATCCTACAGAGTGAAATATTAGGAAATAACCAAATAATTGATATAGTCATTTTAATTGCTACCTTGTTATCTGTGACCTAGTTTGCTTAGCAGTTTTTATGGAGCCTGATTCTCGATATACTGGAGAATGTTAGATTCAGAATGGATGTAAGAATATTTTGATTTTTCTTTCAGTTCTATTAAGTTGACAGTATTTCTGTAAAAACAAATCAAGCTAGCAAAGCTCATTTTTAGTATTTTTCTAAACAGCAAGTTTATATTAAGTTAGATTTAATAAAGAAGAAGAACATTTTTTTCTATAATTATAATTCCCTATAGAGTACATATATCAAGGCAAACAAGAGAGAAAGTAATCTTATATTTTCTTGGAACACTATTGCACACAATCAAATAAAATGAACTTGAAGTCTAGTCTTTTTTTACAGACTAAAAACGAGTCTGACAACTGTGGAGCCAGCATCAGGTTCCTTAGTTTTTACTTTATCTAGCAGATCTTCAGTCTGCAAACTGTTCTCGACAACCCTCATCTTTACAAGTCATCCTATCTAACCAATGCACAAAAGGGTATTCATCTGCAATTACAAATGTTCCCAATGGCATAGACTCCATTCTCAGAACATGTAAAGGTCTAGATGAAAGCGGTGTAGTTATGAAATAATTGCCATTTGAAGGTATGTAGAAAGGCTTCTTCACGAGCAACTGAGAATAATAAATAGATGGCAAAGCAAGACAAAGACATATAACAGGGTGCTGTAAGACACATACATAGGCACACTAACATGCACACACGTGTCCATGGCGTGACTATGGTGTAAAGATTCTCTATAGTCTGCTACTAGATCAGTCCTCTTACAGGACAGTATTTTCTCAGCCATGACAGCTTATCTCTCCAGTAAAAATGAATACAGCCTGAGGTGTGAACTCGTTATCCAACATGTTGTTTCTTCCTTTTGTGCCTAGGAGTTCATGTGTGCATCATGCATACATATGTGTGAGTTATAATGATGAAATGAGAAATTGAACTGGACCATCCCAGCGCTGTACCAAACATCATAACCAAAAGGCATTGTAAGAAACAAGCCATATAAAGCTGTAATGTTGTCATTTGGGGGTATTTCCAAGTAACTCTTTTGTATATTGAATGACTGTTCACTTTTCTTTCTTTCACTTGGCTGCTAAGAAACGGAGAGTCATCTTTGTCACTAAATCCACATCCAGCCTCATGGTGTTTTCTTTCTTCACTGGTCTTCACTTTGGCTAGGGAACATCTTTTTAACACATTTATGTCATTTTTACTCACTTTATTGTATTTCTTTTGAGAACCATTTGACACTTTTTGATATAAGCCTAGCAGGAGAATAAGGATAGGAAAGCAGGGGATCAGAGGACAAAGACTGTGAGCCTGTATTCTGGGCTTTGGAGACCTGTTAGGCCTAGATTAGAATCCCACTACTTTCTGGCTTTTTAAATTTGGGCATACATTTATTTTAATTTATGTAATTAAATTATTTATTTATTTAATTTGTTTACCTTCTCTGAGCCTCAAATTCATCTAAAATGGAAAGATATTAGAACCAACCTCAATGGAGAAAAATAAAGTAAGAGATCGATTAATCTTTCTTTCTTCCATCAAAATATAAATTGTGGGCGTACATGTGTGTGTAAATATGTGTGTTATATATGAAACTGTGCATATACATACATACATATCATATATAGAGTATATGAACATACATACATACATATGTACAACCTCTTCCTGCTCCCTACCTACAAATTTCTGGGATCGAATCTTAAAAATGTCCTCACTCACCAATTTCCAAAGAGCTTCAAGGTAGGCAAAAACTAATCTATTCTTCACTTCAAATGCTGTTTTGTTTTTTGTTAAAATTGTGATCTGTGGAAGATATTGGAAATAAGTCTGTGAAATGAGCCATTTTATGAAAGCGGAATTTCGGTAATCTCTATGTATTAAATAGGAGGCTAAAAGAAATTCCTCCCGTTGGGTCCCCCACGCATCCCTGTGATTTACTCTGCCTGTCTGCTGCAACAATCATCGCCACGGTACACAGTGCTCACCACTGACCTGTTGCAGACAGTTAATCAAGAGCAGAGAGAACAGCTTTCACAGTACAAGTAGTTACTTGTTCTCAACTTTTTAAAGTTCATAATTCAGTCTTACTGTCATTTCTTTCCTCTTGCCGGTGCTTTTATGAAAGGTAAAGCTGAACAGAAAGAAAACCAGAGTCATTAACTGTTTGAAAGTTTAATGTGCTACCAAACCAGAATTAGATGTGATAATGAAATTTCCACAGTTGAAAGCAGACTTCGCTAACTGATGTATGTAGTGAGAAGGTGGTCACATAACCAATGAAAATAAAACCTTGCTCATTTTTTATATTTCTCATTCATTTTTTTGTTTAAACTGGCCAAACGCCAAATTAGACTTCAGTTGGGATACTTTAAAAAGTGGATTTAGTAAAATTCCACTTGTTTCGCTTAAGAAATATACATTCAATATTAACAGTAGAGATGTTGATCAAGTAACTTCATATCTAAAGACATTCCAGAACAATAGTTTAGGTTTTGTGGAATAACTTTCCTAACCTGTATTCAGCCATCGTAATTGGTCAGAAGAGCCATCCAAGTCACCAAGAATTTCACCAGAATCCTTTCCACGGGGCCACAGAATAGCTCACTCCACCCATGCCACTCCCCAGTCTGGTATTCAAGGTATGTCTAATTAGGTTTCTGACTTACCCTTTCTAACTACTTCTATTTCTGCCTTTTGTCGTCAATGTAATCAACATGGGTCATTATTTGTTGCCCAAATACAGCACGTACTTGTCTATCCCTTTGCCATAGCACATGCTTTTCTCTCCTAACATTCTCAGCCATGGGGTCTTTTTGCCTACCCTCCTCCAGGCATCCCCACCCACTGTGTCCCTCTTCCCACCACTTCCACTCAGGGACCTCTTACCTACCACCATCTTTTGAAATTATATATATTTATTTAAAGTTCAGTTAAACTGCTCTTTTTTCAAGAAATCATTCCTTTTTTTTATCCCAAACCAACCCGACCTCTTTCTCTTCTCCATCCAGAATCACTTACTTTAACTCTTGTATATCACTTTCATAGTCTTTGGCATACAGTAGGAGTTCATTTGCTCTATGATGAGTGAATCAATGACCTATAGGCTATATGCATTTTAATCTACCCCATAACCTTCTCCTCCACCTTAGCTAACTTCCTAATGGTAAAGATGTGGTTAGTGGGAGGAGGTACTTATTAATCTTTACAACCTTTACATTATCTAATAGGTTAATTGCACATAACCAAGACTTGATAGATATTTCTTGAATTGCATGATTAAACTGTGTCAGCTGGGCTTGGTTATAAGCACCTCAGGATCGTGTCTAGATTTATCAGAAGCAGTGCTAGTGATGCAAAAGGTAATTTTCTTTGCTGAATCATAGCTGAATTTATATCACACTAAGCTTTGGAAGGTACCATTTTTCAAATTAAATATAAAAACAATAACCTTTCTGTGTGGAACGTTTTAAGTTCTCCTGGCTCCTCTCAGGCATGGGGACATCTCTGTAAGGTGTTGACCTAAATTTCTTCTGACCTAATTTCCTTGTTGCAAAAGGAATTCAGTGCAGCCAGCCCCCACTGCGGAAAGGTTTTGTTCTACATCACTGTCACATTTCAATGACAAATGGAATGAACTTTGTTAGTCCTTTTGAGATTTCAGAATAGCTCAGGATATTCCCCTCTAATATCTAAGAGGATTTCAGTGATTTTTCCTGCCGGCCACAGAGTATAAAAGGGCCTCCCTCCGTCCCATGCATTCCCCCTGAGCAGCCGGGTATACCTCGTGGAAGCACCAGAGCCTACTTGCAAACATTTTTACCGCATGGTGGCTGAAGTGAAGGTTGCTGATGAAATGAAGAATGAAAGTGGCAAAAAATGATGCACTGAGCTCTTCATTCAAAAAAGAGAAATCTCAGCATTAACAAACTCTAATTTGGTTCTAGTTCTAAGTATTTTAAAATTTATAAAATCAAACCTATACTTCTATGGTCAGAAAAAATAATTTTCCTCCTAATGATACAGATTCGACCAAAAAGCCTGTTTTCCCCACTATATTGTGAGTATGTGTATATTTGTAAGTACATGTGGTGAGAAAGGAGAGGCTAATAAAAAGAACGGGATTTGGTTCAAATAATTCAATAGTTGTAAAAGTCATAAGACAATAGACAGAAATATAATAAAAATTCTTTCCTTTACATTTCTTAAGGAAAGACAAAACAGTCTTCTACAGAGGAGAGCTTAGATGTATTACTTTCTGGAAGAAAAGGGGTTCCCTGCTAGATGGCTCCCAGGGCTTCCTTCTGTAGCTGTCATTAACCAATGACCACTCTCTGAATCGTGTATTCTACAAGCGGTTTCAATGTGGGATTAACTGCTTTTCAGATGCAGAATTTTAGTAATCATTTGAGCAATATGCTGAATGTACCTTAAAATGCTTAAAATTACTGGAATTCTCTCATGTTTGATCATATAAAATGTTACTCCATTATTTCCATTTGGAAGCAAGTCTTTTGGAAGGTCTTAAGGCACGACACCCTGCCAGTTGGTGATGTGGTCAGCAAAGTCGAGAGGAGGTCAAAGAAAGCAGCTGTCCCAGCAATTTAGCCTGAACCTAAATGGTAACATAAAAGAGAGTAAGAGGAGAGGAAAAAGCTGACAAAGGAGAGCAAAACAGCCTGTTTCAAAAGAGTAAATAAAGATGTAAGAAGATAGGAAATAGATAATTTAAAAGTACATGGTGAAAATGTTATTTCTAACAACAACAAAGAAGAAAAATAATCTGAAGAGGAAAGCGAATTTTAATCACCCCCCACCCCCGACAACCAAATGCTAAATATCTCTTGGGAAACTTTCCCAAAAGTCAAAAATCACAAGCAGAGTGAAAGATGCACTTAGATAAATAGGTTATATAAAAAGAAAGAAATTCAATTCAGAGTCCTCAGCCAGCAAATAGAGACTAAGAAATTACTAGGGGCAGACACTGCCCTTGTGCCTAGATAACTAATTACCCAAATGGGCAAACCCACTACCAATGCATTATTGCACCAAGATTTTTATGTTGTCCAATGGCAAGAAGAACTGATTATTTAGATTTCTTTTAGCCTAGTACATAGCATTAACCCGAGATCAGAGAGATGACAGCAGACAGCAGAGAGGACGGATGGAAAGGAAGAGAGAGAGAGGGAGAGAGAGACAGGGAATGCATATAAATGATGGGACTATCGTATTTGATTGGCTGGCTTGTGAGCAGAGAGACTGATATATTACCTGGATGAAACAGAATATATTTTCTCTTAGGATCACTTGCTGGGATCCCTAGATAGATCATCTACTGAAGGACAAAAAAAAAAATCTTTTGTGAAAACAAAGAAAATTATTATTTCCAGGAAGTTGGTTTTGGTGAAGACATTTATTGGCATATTTCTGTGAGTTGCACAGGACCACAAGGATTTCTCAATGTGAAGCAAAATTTGAAAAGTTAAATGACCCAGTAGGATGTGGTCTCAGCAGATGCCATTATAAAATGGCCTAGGACAAGCTGTATATAAAGTAGAGACCTTGCCTGAGTGTTCTGCATCTCTTCCATTACCTTCTCCTTCTGAGTAAGGACTTGGCATGACCCCTCCACTTTGATTCTTATATGATGCAGTAAAGCTTTTAAGAACCAAGTAAACTGGTGACCTGAAAATGAACGTCAACACATACATAAGCTTTGTAATGAACGTTAAAGTCCCTGCCTCTCATGCGGACTAGCTTTCCATGGTTGTGTAGTACAGGAACTATTCAGGGAGCAAAGGAGACCCAGTTGTTGTGGTCTATTTACTTAGCATGGTGCCCTGGCACCATGACTGTCAGATCCTGCTGCAGCACACACCTGCTGCTGCGGGAGGATCTTCCCTCTGTCAGACACAAGGAAAGGAGAACAACTTCTAAAACGCATTTTTACATTACCAAGAACAAAGATGACAATGTGAAGCAGAAGTCAGGTCAAATTTAGCTTCTCGTAACATTGGCTGGGCCTGCCTCTGCTCGGGGGAAAGCCTTGCTGAATCTCTACTTTCAGAAGCAGCACTAGACTGAACAATCAGACTGAAAAACCCATCATCCCACAAGGATTTGTGAAGTGTTGAGCATCTAGCATATGGGTGTCCTGAATAAAAGGATTTTGCCAGGAGTTTTGAGATCAGAAATCCATGATTAATTTTGACTACTTGGATCAATAAACATTGTTTTCCTTTGAAACAGAGCACCTATAAAATTATGTAATTTGAGGTATAGGAAAATCATTGCCGAGTGAGCAGAGTACTTTGCTGCCCACAGAACCCATTTGGTAATAATTTCAGCATGAAAAGTAAGACCATTATTTTGATAGAACAAATGCATCTGAAAGTCATGAAAGATTATATCAGTTAAAAATTATTTGCATAAAATACATTTTAGCACGAACTCACTCAGGTGTAGTACTATTCACACCAGAAATGCAATTCAGTGTGAGCTGTTTCCTAAAGGAAAAGTACATGTGAGAATTTAGATTATTTTGTCTAGCACAGCTGCTGCTTGTACTGCAAAAGCAGAGATGCAGCTGATGACAAGGTAGAATGGAACTTGACACCTCCACTGGCATCCAGCCAAGAATACAGAATGTTTTAGCCAGTCGATGGCATGTGATCCATTTCTTAATTGTTGATAACATATAATTAGGACAATCTAAGCCTAGTTTAATGAATGCAATAAGTTAAACTGCAGTGTTTGACTATACTTGGATAGACTTTGTTAGTCTTGGAGCACGGAACTGCAGAGTAACATTTTATAAACAGTACAAAATGGAATCTTCCCTTTACAAACTATCAGCCTAAACTTATGGCTGACATCCTAACCCACAGTATAAATTCTATGTACTGTATAAATGTCAACTGATATTCATGGCCAATGTGCCCAAAATAAATTTTCCCCTTGAAGATTTTGAAGGTAAGATTTATGTGAAGAAATTGGGCACATATTTAAAAATGACAGACTACACGTTCTACTAATCAGTTATCAACCTGATTTATTTTGACAGACTTCTCTCTAAGATGATCAGAGCTCAGTCTAGTATACTACATGGTTTTTTAAAATGCAATGATTTTCTTGAAAATAATGAAGTGATTATTAACTTTTTATTAAAATAGATTCATTGCATTCATCTTTCCACACCCATATTACTTACGTGTAGGTTTTGTAAAAATATTGTCATTGCAGAGCATGAAAAGACCTTTACCAGGCCATAAATCAATTCAGCTGAATATTTCATATCTCTAGTAAGAGATTTATGTTTTCCAAAGGCAAGAAAAAGCCTACCTAGATATAAAAATAATACAAGAAATAAAAAGTTTTGAGAAAATGCATTTTAGATTTTTGACTGAAAAAAATTTTAAGGGAAGCTCTATTTATTCACAGCATGCTTGCTTTCTCTGATTTTCTTTTTTACTTTTTTTTTTTTTGGTCTTTAAATTTGTTCTAATGTTATCAGAATTGATTTTTAGTCTCAGTCATCCCAAAGGAACTGTCTTGAGTGAAGCTCTTATAGGGGAACTGTAATGAAGAATCAGCTCGCAAAGCTGTTACTATGGTGCTCACATATCTGAAGAAATTTTTAGTGGAAATAAAATTCCAAAGCACTAAATTTAGAGGTATTTCGTTTCCTAGTAAGAGGTATAAAAATAGTACTACTAGATACAATTTAAATTCCAAGGGGGAGATATTTATTTCTGTACGATACTCAACCATGTATATTCTAGAAAGCCAGTTTCTTTCCACAGGCCTTGAGACAAATTAAAAATCATGGTAACTAATTCCCTTTTAACCCTCCCCTCCGCCGCATCTCACCAGAGGATAATAGTTTAAAAAAAGGAGATCTTTTCCATTTTCACATTTTCATTTTTGTGTTGATTTTAAGAAGAAATTTTACAAAGTGAAGGCATAACTAATTGAAAAATGTATTCTTTTTCATATATGTAAGAAACAAATTTTGACAATGATGTATAATTATAGTTTTAGATACTAAATTGCATATTACCTCACAGAGAGCAAAGGAGAGTTAAAGAACATCATTGGTGCCCCGGTATAGTTACTAGAAAGTTCAGGTTCGAGCCATATTTTACATTAAAAGCAATATTACCATGATGTACATAAGTCAGCAAAATCCCCTTTTCCAAAAATGAAAATTTCCAGAAATCATGACAAAGTATAGTCCTGAAATTAAAATATTTCTATGCATCATATCATATGTAAATATAATTTTAATAAGCCTATGCCCACTATTCAAATATGTACCAAATTCCTCAAGTCTTATTACACTTCAGAAGTGGTGCCTAAATTACTACTTGAAGAAGACATTTTTAAATCATCTTAAAAATTTCACTTTTGTCATTAAGCCACCAGAAACAACAGAAAAAATCCTGTAATAATATTACATGGGTGAGAATATTCTATTACATCTGCACTTCTAGGTTCATAAGAAAGAAGAGAGGAACTGACATCTCTCAAGAAATGAGACTAAAGAAATTACAGATGTATACTTCTGTGTGAGTGATAAATACTCATATGATTATTGAAGGGGGAAATAAATAATATAGCTATAAGCATTCCATCCATTATGTGTAATTTTTGTTGATATAAATATACATTTGAATTTTAAGACTTTTAAACATTAAGATTTGACAAGTGCAGTAAAGAACAAGGTTCTCTATTTATGCTGTTCCATGCATACAAGAGAGAAGAAGAGTTCATGTTATAATTGGCTTTGGTTTTATCTGTTCTTACAAAGTCAAACTGTCCTTAAATGAAATTATTCGTAAAAGCAATCCACACCGCCATCCTCTACATTAAAATGCAAACCTCGTGTTAACATGAATAAATGTGCCCATAATTTAGGAGACTATTTTAGGAGTTGTGGCCATTATATGTGTTTTATTTTTAATGGTAAACTTGGAATTTGGGAGAAATTTTGGCTTGTAATTAGAATAGAATACCAAGACTAAGATATACAATGCAATGCAACAGTGGGTAATTCACTATTCTTTTACAGTTATCAAATTCAGTACTTCTAATTTTTAGTCTGCACCACGAAGGACATATTTCTTCAAATAAAGTAAATGCAGAATCTTCGTTAAAGAATTCACAAGATTTTCTAGATATATTTTTTGTGTTACTGTAACTGAATTTTCCCCTCTATCTAACCAGGCCCACCACAAATGGTGAAATCAAATGAGAAAAAATAAAGTACAACAGAAGTGAATTTATTTTGCTATCATGTAAAACTCTACACTGTAGCATTCAAAAAATAAAATTATTAAAGCTTTTTCTTCTGACAAAACACTTAGAAAACAATCTCTAAAACTGCCAGTTTAAAAACTGCTCAGGAACGTTGCACTGTAAGCGTCACTTTTTTGTTGATTCATTATTTGTTGATGAAAGAAGTGTTTGCCTGTTTTTTGTCACTATGGCTGTAATTATTTCTCTTTATTATAGGCTGTATACTAAATATAATCTACTAAGTTCTTATCAACCTTTTGCTTACAGTAAAACTAGCTTTCCACCTTTTCTACTTGCTAGATGAAATGGATTAGAAAGTGATTCTTATGTTAATTTTACCAGAAGCTAGAAAGTGCAAACTGCACATTCAGCTACATAGATTTCTGGACTTTTAACTGTGTTTATGTAACTGTGCTAAGAACAGTATTTTGCAAATATTAACCAGTGTATTTCATGACATTCCCTAACTCACATTTCTTTTTGGTCTCATCTTCAAGGCCAAGCCAGAAAACTTACTGCTCTAGGTTAGGAAAGAAAAAATTTAGCTTGAAAGCAGGCTTTGTAGAGAGTAAATGGATTTGCTAAATTCTTTAGTACCTACTTAACATTTCAAAACTAAGCCTGGAGGATTCAATCAGAATTCTCATTATAAAGAGAGGATGCCTTCCACCTATGAACTCTCCAGGTCATGAGACTTGCTGCTCTATGTATAAGGGCTCTGTACAAAGTTAAAGGAGAGCTAAGCCCATCCCTTCTGTTTCTGGGGGCTAAGGATGGTAGAGGATGGAAAGCAATCTGAGACTGCATTTCAATTTCCCTTTCTGGCTTTCTCTTTTCTTAGTAGTTGTGTGCTGGGAAGCTCAGGAGAAAAGCAATCCCAAATTCTGTATCTGACTCTAGAATGAAACCTTCTGGAGCTGCTCCATATCAACTTCCTGAGAACCCATCTATTAACCTTGAGGAATGGCTTTCTAGACTCCTCTGAGTTTCAGTGTGGCCTGGATAGAAACTAGGAATTTCTGCAAACCCCCACATCTAAGCCCCAGGAGAACGGATGAGGCAGCTGAGTTGCGAGCTGGCAGGCAAGGTGCTTCCATGGCAGAGGCTCATTTTGGGCTTTCCACCAGGGAGCACTTGAGAATAAAGCAGAGACAGATGTTCTGTATCACCAACCAAAGCCAAGCAGGGGGTAAGTTGACCAAGTTAACATAAAAGGTGCCCAGATCAGCTACAAGTGCCAGCAAGGCAATGGACAAGGACAGCACCTTCAAAACCAGAGGGTCAATAGGACTCTGCACCGAAGAATGCCAGCTCTTCCTACCACTTTCAGACTGTGACAGCACCAAGACACCAACTTGAAGGGGTGCCTGGAAGTGGACAGAAGGCTCAGAAATCTGGGAGACTAGGCACGTTTTCCAAAAGAGACAGCATTACCTAAAGGGATGGTTTTAATTATTGGATTGGACTGAATTTTAAAATGCATAGGACTCTAAATTTATAAGAGAACCAGAATAGTTATAGACAAAATAATGGAGCTATTTTCCAGGCACATCCAAGTTGCTATATGAGTGAAGTTAATGTTACATAACCAACACAAAGAAGAAACTTTCTGCAGTAAAAATAATTCCTTCTTCAAACACATATTCTTATACACATGCAAGATCACAACATGATATCTGATGAGGAAAGAGAGGTAATCTTTTTTGACCTGAATTATCCATACTGCGTGACTTTGTTAATTAGGTGAGCCAAATAGCTGCTTGGGAGTTTCCTTTTGGAGTTTTTCATGTCTGTACAAGTCAGGATTACCAGTTCAAACAACAACAACAACAACAAAAACCCTTCTCTTTTAAAATTTACTCATCTGCAAAGAGGAATATTAATATCTCAGATGGTTATTGGGGAATTAAATAAGATGATTCCGGTAAAGTTAAGGGCTTCCTGTAAATTGGCTAGCACCATGTCTGGCATTTTTATCTCTGTCCCTGTTCCACCCCGTCTTCATATCTCTTCTGAGATCAGAGAGGTTGGAATGTTTAGCATCACTGATAATCCGCTATACATCACCATCATTTCCCATCCCTGACCATTGAGTTTCCAAGTCTTCTTAGTTGTTCACCTGAAAAAGTTCTTAAGCTTATCTCCTGATCTCCTTTCTCACTGTCATGACCTTCAGTCCAGATCTTATTTCTTCTCTCTGGCAACTGTAAGTACCTTCTCACCAACTATCCGCCTCCAATCGGCTCCTTCTTGTTTGCAAGCCGCTGCTCAGCTCGGAGTTTGTCATTCCTTCTCCGAGACCCTCTCTCCTCTTTCCTTTCTCCTGTCTTTTATCCCTCCCTCCGTATCTCTCTTTTTCCTTTTAGTCATTTCCATAAAGAATATGAAGCTACTCAAAATGTTGAAATACATAGTTAGCATGAATCAGTTAAAAGTAAACGAGAATAAAGATGAATAAAACAAAGAGACAGCTATTAGAAGAATCTAAAATAGACCTTTCTGCAGCTAAGGTCTGAATTCAATTCTAAGTTTTAAGGCAGTTCAAATGGAAAGGGAGTATTGTTTTTCATGGTCATTAACTCAAAATTTTAAAACCATTAACTTTACACTTAACATCTGTGTCTCAAAAATTTGAAATTAGTTATGGAATAAGAAGTTTTTCTAAGGATGGCCGAGAATTCTATTTTGAAGTTCAGTATTAGTAATACTATAATATCTATAAATGAAAATACTTCACAAATAATTTTCTTAACTTTAGATTTAAGAAAATTATTTGTGAAGTATTTACATATACACACACATATGTGTGTTTATGTTAAGACAATACTTATTTGGAAGTACACACACACACACACACACACACACACACACACACACACACATATATATATATATATACGTATATACCAGAGCTTCAATTAACTGAAATTAGTTGACTGTAACGAACTAAATTTTTCCTTCTTTGTCAAATGAAAAAATAAAGAGGAAAAAAAAATCAAACAATATGATTTGGTCACTCAACAAGAAAAAAATTAATTTTCTAC